TCCCTGTAGGCGAATAGATATTACTCTATCGTAGACAGCTTTGTACTTCAATATAGATCTTGAAATGTTCTTTTTGATAATGAATGTGGCGCCATTCCAGCATATTAAACCATGTGATTGTCAGATTCAAAATGGCCAATATCAGTCTATTTCAGCTCACTAATGCCTAGGATATAAATTTTTTATTCATTCTATTTCATTTTTGACAACTTCCAGTTTTCCTAGATTCATACTTTGTACATTCCATGTGCTGACTGTTAATGGACTTTACAACTGTTTCTCTTCATTTTGAGTTGTGCCCCATCAGTAAATGAAGGTTCCAAAAGCTTTACTCCATTAGCGTCATCACAGTCAACTCTAATTTGAGGAGGCAGTTCTTCCTTAATCATATTTTGAGTGCCTTCCAATCTGAGGGGCTCATTTTCTGGCACTATATCTGACAATATTCTGGTGCTCTTCATCATGTTTCATTATGTAATATTCTGGTGCTATTTGACAGTGTTGTACTGCTCTTCATAGGTTTTCAGTGACTAAATATTCAGAAGTAGTCCATCTTCCTAGTCTGTCTTAGTCTGGAACCTCAGCTGACACCTGCCCATCATGGGTGACTCTCCTTTATTTAAAATACCAATGGCATAGCTTCTAGAATCACAAAAACATGCAAGCCACCACAGTACAATAAACTGACAGATGAGTGGTAGGTGGAAGGGACGGTTTCCCCTCAAAATAATTAAGGACCATTATTAGAGGAAGAGCGAATGAGGCTAAGCAGGAGACACAGGTCTACCATATGCTCTCAAACTGTGCTGTGGCCACCTTGAATTTCTGGAAATCAAAGAGGCAATTGGAATGGAGGGAGGTATAAGGAGGGATTTGAGAAATATTTAGACAGAGGAAAGAACAGAGCTGAGTAGTGGATTAAACGGAAGGTGTGAGGTGCAAGCAACAGAAAAATCACTCAAGTTTAAAGGGAATATATGGGAAGGTTCTTGGGGATTTACAGCCTCAGCTGGAAGGCACAGGTTTGGAAATGAGCAGGAATGAAGGGTGCATAGGAAGACTTGTTTTTATGTGCTGTGGAGTTGGTTCTGACTCATAGTGACCTAGTACATGGTCTGTAAAATCTTTACGGGAGCAGAAAGCCTCATCTTTCTCCAGTGTAACTGGCTGGTAGTTTTGAACTGCTGACCCTGAGGTTCGCAGCCCGATTCATAACCACTACGTTACCAGAGCACAGGAGGACTAGGAAGTAAGAAATACAGCATGTCCCTGGAGCAGGGTAGTTGTTAACCTAATGTCCATCTCACTGCTCTTCCTTGTCTGCAGATCATTTCCCAGTTCTACTCCACTCACCTCTTATCTCACATGCCTCTGACCTAGCTCCAGGATTGATTGGTCTAAGCTAGTTAAAGGATCCTCTTACCCTTGTCAAAGATTGATTGGTTTAGGGGGATCATGTTACCCAATTCTGGTCAATAAACCATGAGGGGATGTTTGCTTGGGACTGTTTTTTTGTTGTCGTTTTGTTTTGTTTTGAGGAAGGTTTCCTTATTCCTAAGAGTAAGCTACTAGAATGGAAAGCCCCTTTCCTTCACTTGGCCATTACTGCATTTAGATGTGACTCTTGTCTGTGGAAGTAATTTTGTAACCATGTGGGAAGTCAGCCTGAAGGTTTGCTCACTGAAGATCATAGAGAAGAAAAATGGACAAAATTTGGGTCCTTGATAACATTGTTAAACCACTAAGAGCACTGCTCTGCTTTGTGAAATGATGTATTTCCTCTCTGCTTCAGCTTGGTTTCAAGAAGGCATAGCAGGAACAATGTGGTCTGGGTACAGGTGGTGCTAAATCAGATTTCCAATGCTTCTAGTCACTCTTCCTAGAAATCTTTTCCATCCCTTCCTCATGCAAACCCCTACTCATTGTGAAGACCTCTTCAATTTACAGGGAGAGCCAGACTCTCAGCAGAGGACGGAACCAACTGCATGAGATGGTTTTGCCCCCTAAGTTCAAACAAGAACAACAACTGTGCTTTCCCTTTAATGAACTCATCTTGAAGTCTCATAGTCTCGATTTCATCATGGTCTTAACAGCTGTCATCAACATAGTACCTTTGGAAAATTGTTGAAAAGGTGCTGCTTTTACAGAATATGCTGAGGATGCCACACTTTCTGCCCTCTTCTTGTTGGGTTTGTCCCAGGAAGCCTTCCACAGCCTCTCTCCCCACAGAATTAATAAATTACCATATCTGTCTTCAGGGGCAATTGGTGGTTCCATAGTAGAATGCTTACCTTCCATGCAGGATTTGATTCCAAGTTAACACACCTCAAGCTCTGTCACCACCTGATGTCTTAAGTGTTGATGTGATACTGAACAGACTTCAGTAGAGCTTCCAGACTAAGACAGATCCAGAAGAACTCACCCACTACCATCAAATTGATTCTAACTCATAACGACCCTACATAGAGTTTCAGAGACTAAATCTTTATAGGAGCAGACAGCCTCATCTTTCTCCCACAGAGTCGCTGGTGGTTTGAACTGCCAACCTTGTGATTAACAGTCCAGTGTTTATAAGGCAGATTCAGGAGGAAGGCACGACAGAAAATCAGCAAATGAAAATCCTATAGAACACAACAGTCCAATCTTGTTGTACATGGGGTCACCATGAGTCAGGCTGATTCAATGGAGGCTAACAACAACACCTCATCTGTCTTCACTTCATTTCCCATCAATTATTTTGTATCAGTCAGAACTCCTTTAGCAGAAATGGCAGAACCCACTCAAATTGGTTTAAGCAAAAAAAGGCACTTCTTGGCTCATGCAGCTGAGATGTCTTGATGAATTTTGTAATTTTAGGAGTCAGGTTCTGAAAATTGTCCGCAACCAATCTATCTGTTGTTGTTGTTGTTAAGTGTCATTGAGTCGGTTCCAACCCATAGCAACCCTGAACAGGGTTTCCAAGGATGTAAATCTTTATGGGAGCAGAGAACCTCATCTTTCTCCCGCGGAACAGCTGGTAGTTTCGAACTGCTGACCTTGCGGTTCACAGACTGATTCGTAACCACTACGCTACCAGAGCGTATAATCTATCTGTATTAGTTATAATACTGTATTAGTTATAAATACTATGTAACGAATCACCTTAAAACTTATGGTTAGAACCAACAATAATAATCCATTATTATTTCTCATTATTTCTAAGGATCAGGACTTCAGAAGCAGTTTAGATAGATAGTTCTGGCAACCTCTCTCATGATGTTGCAGACTAGATGTCAGTTGGGACTGCAGAATCCACTGCCAAGGTGGTCTACTCAATGGCCGTCAAACTGGTGCTGGTTGTTAGCAGGAGACTTTCCTTTCTCCCTACATGGAAATCTCTATAGGGCTCCTTGGGTGTTCTCACAACATAACAGAGGACTTCCCTGGGTGAACATTCTAAGGAAAACAAGGCAGAAACAGCAATATCTTTTATGACGTGGAATTGGAAGTCAAACACCATCCTGTTCTATGGGTCACAGGGAACACCTCTGACTCACTGTGAGAGAATATTATACAAGGGAATGAATACCAGGAGGTGAGGATCAATGGAACTATCTTGGAGGCTGCCTACATCCACCTCCTTTCCTCATTCTGTCTGTTTGCTCTGCGTTTTCTATGTGTAGACTTCACTCTCAGGAAGGCCATCCCTAAGCAGTGATCAAAGGTGGCCATCAACATCTCAGGCCTACATCATACATGCTGAGCAACCATCTTGGAAAGAAAGTTGCTCTTTCCAAATGTCCTGGCAAAAGCCCAGAGACCAACTTTGATTGACCTACCTTGTGTTGCTTGTCTCCAAACCAATCACTGATTGGCCAGACTGAGACCACACCCCCAGAACTGAGGGTAGAGTTGGTAACACTAGAGGTTCATGGAGGATGTGAGAGAAAAGTGTTTCCCAAAGGAAAAATCAGGGTTCCATTAATGGATCAGGCAGGAAAAGCTACACATGTCCACCCCACCATCTTCCCTTATACTAACAGCCCCACATTTTAACATCCCTTGGTTTAGCAATTAAACTTGGGTTTTAATTTCTTGGGGCAGGTAGAATTCTAAGATGGTCCCCAAGATCTCTACCTCTTGGTGTACATACACCACCCAAATTATTCAATGGAACAGTAATCTAGGTGCTTCTTTGAAGGGATTTTGCAAATGTAATTAAGATGCCAAATCAGTTGACCTAAAATAGGGAGACAATTGTTGGTGGGCCTGATCCAATCAGGTGAACCTTAAACATGAGGGGTTCTTTCTCACAAAGGAGATTTGAAATGTGAGGGAAATCCAATATGAGAGAGATTCTGTGTTGCTGATGGAGAAGGCCACATAATAGAAAAAATGCAAGCAGCTTCTAGGAGCTGAGACTGTCAGCAAGGAAATGGAGACCACCTCTGCAATTTACAAGAAACTAAATTCTACCAATAACCTGAATGAGCTTGAAAGTAGACTTTTCCCAGAGCCTCTGGAGAATTCATCTTTGATTGCAGCCTTGTAATACTCTGAACAGAGATCCCACTCATGCAGTGCCAAACTTTTGATGTACAAATCTGTTAACTAATGAATGATTATTGTTTTAAACTGCTAAATATATGGTAATTTGTTATACAGCGATAGAAAATATATATTCCAAGTGGACTCTAAGATTCCTCCTAAATAGAGTGTCTCTTTGATATCTTAACCCCCTGACCCATAATAGGACTTGCAAGACAACACTGTTTCTTATTCCACCTTCCAGTCCCACTATCTGAAAAAGGGAGGGAACTCAGCTTCTCATCATTCTGCCTCACTCACCTTCCCTTGGTGACCTATCTAGGAAGCTGCTCTGTTTGACTTCCCACAGCTTGTGTCCCACAGGCCTATGAGGGCAGCTTGACCTGTCCCTGCTTCCCAGGCCTCAGAAGACCTTTGATCAGTCCTATTGATCTGGACTCCTGAACAAGCAGTTAGGCTAACAATTAGACGCCATGAGGGCTCTGCTGCTTTTAGGGTCTCTGCTGGTGAGCCTGGAGCCAGCACTTTCGGTGAGGGATATGGGGACCAGGAAAGTTGTGCTGGGGCATGTGTTGGGGTCTCCTTCTTGCCTGTCTTGGCTTCTAGCCATGATCTGTTGGCCAAAGTGTGGAAAGGCGAGGTCAGTCTAAAAGGCCCAGGCAGAGAACATAGACAACCAGAGCTGATGGATCTGAGGGCATGGCCTGAATTTCTGGGGAAAAGGGAACCTAGAAGAGGCAACTGGCAGAGGAAGGAGGGGGTTTCAAATCTCTGGATTTCTGGGTGGTGAGAGAAATTTAAGGACTAGTTTGAGATCAGGGACTGGCTATGACTTTCAGAGCAAATTCCCTATCCCATATCAATCCTTACAGTCTCCACATCAGAAAGTCCCCAAGGAATACAAGCACACAGTGGATGAGCACACAGTGGGTGAACACAGAGTGGGTAAGTAGCTCTACCTCCTAAGACACCATCGGATGGGAATGAGTATGGTGAGGAAGGTACAGAGAGGGTCTTGGGTGAAGTGGTGGGGGTAGAGGAGACAGCATTCTGGCAGGCATTCAAACCTGAGTGCCTATTACTCTGTGCTAGGTTTGTGTCCATGGCTACCAGAGACCCCAAATGACACTGAGCTGAGTACTCCTTTAGGTCAGGGCCCAGGCTATATCTGAGTACCCAGTCCAAAGCCCAGCATATGCTGGTGTTAGGGGTGTGCTGGCTACAGCCCTCATACCTGGACTCCCGAGGGTCTGCCTCCATTTCCCTAGTCTTGGCTTTCTTTTTCTTCCTTGGTACACCCCAGCCATCAGTAATACCACACAGGGCCCTTGATGGGCAAGAAATGATCAAGAGCTGGGCCTAAAGACCTCTGAATGCTGACTTCCTCACTTACAAGCTGAGTAGCACTGGGAGAATGATTTAACCTTTCCTAGCTTAAAGCTCCCTATCTGTAAATCCAGCATGGTAACAGTCAAACTTTAGGGGTGTTTAGAAAGAGGAAGAGGTCATCAGTCTATGTAAGGCCACCAGCCTAGAGCCTGGAGCATGATGAATGCTGCTAACATATTAAAACAATTATTTCTGTTTTTGTTGTTGAATATATACACAGAAAAAGCATTCACAGAAAAATAGAATGAAAAGGTCATGAAATTTTTCCACAAACTTTTAAAGCCCCCTCGTATACTAATTCAATCATTTCTAGATATACAGTTCAGTGACATTGATTACATCCTTCAAGTTCTGCAAACATTCTCATCCTACTTTACCAAATTGTACCCTTTCCATTAACATAAACTCACTGCCCCCTAAGACTCCTATCTAATATTTGGAGTTTCTGTTGTCAATATGATACAATGGAGTGGCGTTGTGAGCTAAAAACAAGGTCAATTTGAACTACAAGGTTGGTGGTTCAAATTCACCAGCTGCTCCTTGGAAACCCTTTACAGGTTCACTATGAGTTGGGACTGACTTGAATGCACTTAGCAACAACAGATAATTCTAAAAACAGCACAATGCTCAAGACAGACATTTTTTACTAGTTAAGCTAAATTATTGTTGGGTTTTAAGAAGATTTCAGGGAATAATTTTGGTTTAATATTAGCTTTTATTATCAAACACCTTTTTAGATAGAGGTAAGGAGCAGAGGGTCTGCCATCTCCCATCTGCTCAAACCCTGCTGTAGCTCTCCATTGCCTTCATTCTTCTGGGCGCTGAATATTTATCTAGAAGGTGTAGTGAGTCAGAGTTTGTAAAATTGGTATAGTCTGGGCCTGCTGTGGTTGAATCTGCACTGGTGGTGTCAGGTCCAAACCCCTTCCAAGACATTTGAGGTCAACATAATATGACTCTAGATGCCCTTACCCTTTTCTCATCACCCACACATGCAGCTTTTCTTTCTTTCTTTTTTTTTTTTTCCTCACTCTTTCTTCAACAGACCATAATGCCTTGTCCTTGCCCAATCACTTACTTGGGGACCCCCCTTTCTGTCCATGCCATTTGCATCTTAAAATCCATCTCAGACCTTTCCTTCTCCATGAAGTCTCTCAGTCCCTCTCTACCCTCCACAAAATTACCGATTCCCTTTATTGTCCTAGCCTCATCTATCCCTCAGCAAGTCTCATTATGCCTTTAACAATAAAATAGCAGCAAATGTTTATTGAACACTTATTGTATGTCAGGCAGAGTGCTAAGTGCTTTAAAGAAATCATATTGTTTAAGCCTTATAACATTCCTTTGAAATCGAAGTCACTCTTATTGCCATTTTACAGATAAGGAAATCAAGACTCAAAGTAGTTACATGATTTCAACATTCAACAAGTATTTAAGTGTATACTCTGTGGCAAGGAGTCTGCTGGTCCTGGGTGGTGCAGATGTTTAAACATTTAGCTACTAACTGAACAGTTGGTGGCTTAAACCCAATCAAAAGTGCCTCAGAAGAAAATGTTGGTCATCTGTTTCCACATTGAATCACTATGGGTGAAAATTGACTTAACAACAACTTTTTTAAAACTTTCTATTGTGAATTAAGTGAAGGTTTACAAAGAAAAATATAGAATGCCTCATGAATTTGTGTGTTATTCTTGTACAGGGTCTATGCTAATCTTCTCTGTATTGTTCCAATTTTAATAAATGTGCTGCTGAAGTAAGCATTTAAACACACACACACACACACACACACACAAAACAAAACTCTGCTGCAAGCTCTGTTCTAGGCCCTGGGAGCACAGACTTCCCCAAGGTCACACAGCTAGTGGGTGGAATCAGCAGTTTACTCCAGGACACTCCTACAGGAAGCAGGGTGCTGTCTTGAATATACGATGAACTTTTCAGGGCCTTTCTTTTCTCCACCCTGAAGGTGGTGTTTGGGTGCTCTGGGCAGTCACAGTTAAGCATGGGGGAGATCCTCAGTGTGTACCTTATCCCTGCAGTTCTCACAGTCACTGGAGAGCTCTGCCACTTCCCTTTCCAGTTCCACCGGCAACTGCATCACAAATGCACTCACAGGGGCCGACCTGGCCCACAACCTTGGTAAGACCACCCAGCAGGGCCTAAGAGACTTAGATTCTGCCCAGTCTCTGCCCAAGGAACCCTACTTGGGGAGAGGGAGGTCATGTATGACAAGGGAGGATATATCATCCCTCGGGCAGAGCAGGGGCCTCATCTCTTTCAACAGGTGTGCTACTACCCCCAACTTCCAGCAGGACCAGCGGTGGGCATACTGCCTGGAGCCCAAGAAAGTGAAAGGTACCACATACTGCCTCTGGGGTAGCCCAGGACCCTCCCCTCCCCACTAGTGACTACACCCAGGATTCTAGACCCAGCCTTTTGCTTTCTATCCAGCCTTTTCTTCAGAAGGGAGAATTCTGGGAGGGGTTGGCCCCATTTTGCTGGTGGGTAAATGAAGGCTCAGAAATTTGGTGTACCAAGGTCACAAGGAAGGCAGGGCTTGGTCCTTATCTGTCTAACTCAGGCTCCTCTCTCTTCCTTGGGCTGTGCGCCTGTCTCAGATCTCTGCAGCAAACACAGTCCCTGCCAGAGGGGAGGAACCTGTGTGAACCTGCCCAATGGACCACATTGCCTATGTCCAGAGCATCTCACTGGGAAGCACTGTCAGAGAGGTAGGGGGCTATCCACGGTCAGGGGAGGGGACTGGGGAGCGGGGAAAGCTGGGTTTACTGAACAGATCCCTGGACACCTTAGCGCAGACCTGGCACAATTCCACCTCTTCTGAGATCACCATCCTCTTTGTCCCCAGAGAAGTGCTTTGAGCCTCAGCTTCAGCGTTTCTTCGATGAGAATGAGAAGTGGCATAGGCTTGGGCCTGCAGGCGTGCACAAGTGCCAGTGCAAGGGTCCCCATGCTCACTGCAAGCCTCTGGCCATCCAGGGTGAGCAGCCCAGCTCGGGGAGGAGGGTCTGGAGGAGAAGCTGGCAGAAGACCGGTTGGTAAGGAAAGGGAGGGAGTACTCTCTGCTTGGTCAACAGACCCAGGGAGATCTCAACTCTCTCCCTGCTAGCCTGTCGCACAAATCGGTGCCTTAATGGGGGCAGCTGCCTGGAAGCGGAGGGCCGTGCCCTGTGTCTTTGTCCCACCGGCTACTCGGGTCCCATCTGTGATGTAGGTGAGCCAGGGTGTCCGGGTCGCAGAAGACCCGCCCCCACATGGGAAGGACTTGTCAAAGGGTCACAGGGAGAGCAGTCGTGGGGCCACAACTCCCCTGGCTGCAGGAAGCTTCTTTTCTCCTCAGACACGGAGGCGAACTGCTACAACGGCCGCGGGCTCAGCTATCGCGGCACCGCCCAGACTACGCTCTCGGGAGCGTCCTGCCAGCCATGGTCTTCGGAGGCCACCTTCTGGAACGTGTCTGCAGAGCAAGAGCTGAACTGGGGACTGGGCCGCCACGCTTTCTGCCGGTGTGTCTGGTGGGACGCGGCAGAGCATCCCTACCTGCCCCAGGGTCCGGGGGGAGGGGGGGGCTTGCCGCTCTCTAACAGCGCCCCTGTCTTGTGGTTTCAGGAACCCAGACAATGATACTCGCCCTTGGTGCTTCGCGTTGAGTGGCGACAGGCTGACCTGGGAGTACTGTAATCTGACACAGTGCCAGGACCCAGATCAGACTTCGCCTTCGGTTTCTCCTTCGACCCGACTCTTCCTGGAGCTCCAGCACCTGCCTTTGCCTCAGCCTTCGGTCCTGCAGGACCCTCAGCCCACGACCCTGAGCCTGCCTCAGTCACCGACCCCAAGTAGGTGCGGCAGGGCGGGAAGTCTGAGCCCCGAGGAGCGGGAGGAGAGGGATTCGGCGACTTGTGGGTTTTCCAGTCCCCATCCCGGGCTCCCTCCACAGCCTCGCGCGAAGCACCCAAGCAGCAGACTCCACTGCTCACGGTGGGTGCCGTGGGCTGCGGGCAGCGACTCAGGAAGGGGTTGTCCTCTCGAAGACGCATCGTCGGGGGACTGGTGGCGCTGCCCGGCTCGCACCCCTACATCGCCGCGCTATACTGGGACAACAATTTCTGCGCCGGCAGCCTCATCGCCTCCTGCTGGGTGCTGACCGCGGCTCACTGCCTGCAGAACCGGCAAGTACTGCTAGCCTAGAGTCGCCACAGGGACCCTCTCTCCTGCTGGCCCAGATAACTAGCTGCTGACTCCCAACCCGGAGTTCCCTCCTCCTCCCTTTCCCCCCACCTCCGCTTTCCTCCGGAGCTCCTCATCAGGGGTCTTTCCTTGGCCGGATCTGAGCGTGCATCTTCTCTTACCTCCCCCACCGCTCGCCCACAGGCCGGACCCCGAGGAACTGACTGTAGTGCTGGGCCAGGACCGCCATAACCAGAGCTGCGAGCAGTGCCAGACGCTGGCCGTGCGCTCCTACCGCCTGCACGAGGCCTTCTTGCCTACCAACTATCAACACGACCTGGGTTCGTAGGACGTCCCCGCGGGGTCGGAGAATCGTGGGGGGTGGGGGGAAGGTCCAGACCCGGCGTCACCGCCTCACGCTTCTCCCCACTGGCGTTAGCCCTGCTACGACTGCGGGAGAGCGCAGATGGCAGCTGCGCGCTCCTGTCGCCTTACGTCCAGCCCGTGTGCCTGCCGAGTGGGGCCGCCCGATCCACCGAGCCCGAGGCTGCGCTCTGCGAGGTGGCCGGCTGGGGCCACCAGTTCGAGGGTAGGCAGAATTAATGGCTGGGAGCGGGAGACTCTGGTCCCGGGTAAACCCGAGAAGCCTTCAACTTTGTTACCGGCCAGGGTGCCTACCTGGGCTGGGAGCGCTGATCTGATGATGGTTTGTGAAAACGTATAGCCCTGATCTCTGCAGTCCGTTCCTCCCAGGGTCTGGGATTCACTACTGTGGTCTCAGAATCTCCTGGGAGAGGAAGGAGAGTCGCACTTTCTCTTGGGTTAGTCTAGAGCAGGACGGATTAGATCGCTGGCCCCGCGCTCCAGCAGCCCGCGGTCTAGAGGACTAGTTTGGGAACAAAGTTCTGAGTCTCTGGGTGTAGGTCGGGTGCTAAAACGTCTCACTCATTCAAATCCCGGGTCCTCCCTGGCCTCAGTTTCTTCATCTATAAAATGGAGTCAACTCCCCTCCTCTTCGGGTTGCTGGGTTTGGAAGCGCCTGGCAGCCGCCAGAATGACATAGAGTGTGAGGAAGGAGCTCTCTGTCTGCAGGGTCGGAGGAATATTCCAGTTTCCTGCAGGAGGCGCGGGTGCCACTTATTCCCCGCGAGCGCTGCTCCGCCCCCGACGTGCACGGAGCCGCCCTCATCCCGGGAATGCTCTGTGCGGGCTTCCTCGAAGGGGGCACAGACGCTTGCCAGGTGAGTCATGGGGCCGGGTTGGCACCTCCTTCCACCCCGCCAGGCGCTACCCTAAGCTGAGGGTGCTGAACTCCGTGTCGCCTACCCAGGGTGACTCTGGAGGCCCGCTGGTGTGTGAGGATGAGGCCAAGGGGCACCGAGTCATCCTGCGGGGTGTCGTCAGCTGGGGCTCTGGCTGCGGCGACCGCTACAAGCCCGGCGTTTACACCGATGTGACTAACTACCTGGCCTGGATCCAGGAACACACTGCTTCCTGAACACCAGGGGACGAGTCTTTTCTTCTGCGAGGTCTCTGTCTTGGTCTCAGTGGGAGGATTACTGGGGCACGCGGATGGATGTGAAAGATGGCGTCCCATTTCCCTGGAGCAGGCAGCCGGGGCAAGGCCTGGCGAATGCACTCAATAAAGTGCTTGAAAAATTCTTGAGAGGAGCAGCCCTTCAGGTGTACCGCTCCGAAACACCAAGGCAGTAAATCCGTGCACAATTTCTTGGCCTTCTAGAGAGCAGGGTCTGTGAGGTCTCCTCATGCAAGATTTGGGCTCATATCCATATACCGTTTGTTGAGGCCTGCTTCTCATAAGAAACAGTCATATCTCTGCACAAGATCCACCCAGACAATTAAATAAGTATCTCTAAGGAGGCGAATGCTGTGACTTTGTAGGGTAGGCGAATCACACAGGTCGGTGGTTGGAACCCATTAGCGTCTCTGCGGAGAAAGATGAGGTTTTCTGCTACCACAAAAATGTACAGCCTCGGAAACCTTACACAGGTCCGAACCGACTCAACAGTACTTAACAACAAGGATGGAGTCTGGGGAATGGTATGTTTAAAACCCCCCAGAGATTCCTTCCATGTGCAGTCGAGATTGAGAACCGTTGTTAGAAATACTTAAGGTTAAAACAGTGGTGTGGATCCTGAGGGCTTGTGCCGCATCTTTCCCAATCTGTATTCTAGGGCAGTGGGTCCCAAAGTGTGGTTCTGGGACCAGGCTGCGTCAAACACGCCAGGGAACTTGCTAGGAATATAAATGTTCGGGTCACTAGAAGTATCAGGGATGGGGTCTAGCAATCTGTTTCACAGCCTTCCAGGGGATTCTGATGCTTGGAAACGTTTGAAAATCTAAGGGTTGAATGGCGCTTATACTATCGTCCTTGGCACTTGGTTTTTGGTTTTTAAACTCATGTATACTCGGAAACCCTGTACAGGGTCGCTATGGGTCGGACCCGACTCGATGGCACTTAACAACAACAACAATACTGAACTTTGTAGGCAATTTTATGTTGGACTTTTTTGCGATTCCCTTCTACATACTTACTTTAGAACGTCAGTAAGATACGAATGTCTTTCCCCCACTCCCAAAGGCATTCTCCAGCCTGTGAAATAACTAGCCTTCACGTCACAGCTTGTTCCCTATGTCATAGCGCCGCCGGTGTTCCAGACGCACGGCGCAGCCGCACATCCCTTGGGAATTCAAGGCGGAGGTCGCGCTCAGCCAGGATGGGTGACTGGAAGGGCTACATCAATGCGGTGTTGCGGGACCAGCGCATCGACGATGTGGCCATCGTGGGTCTCTCAGACAATCACTGTGTGTGGGCATCGCGGCCAGGGGGCCTACTGGCGGCCATCTCACCGCAGGAGGTGGGCGTGCTTACCGGCCCTGACCGACGCACCTTCCTGCAGACGGGCCTGACTGTGGCGGGTCGCCGTTGCTGCGTCATCCGCGACCACTTGCTGGCGGAGGAGGACGGCGTGCTGGACGCGCGCACCAAGGGCCTAGACGGGCGCGCAGTCTGTGTGGGCCACACGCCACGCTCACTCCTAGTGCTTATGGGCCGACGCGGCGTGCACGGGGGCATCCTCAACAAGACAGCGCACGAGCTAATCCTCGGGCTGCGCAATCAGGGCACCTAGCGGAGCAACCAGGCGGCCACAAGGCAGGGATGGAATAAATTAATCCGGGCATGGTGGGCTCGTCCTCCAGTTGCACATGGCATTTCGAGGAGAAACCGGTTTAGAAGTGATCTTTTCAGAAAGATTGCCTCGTGGGGCTGGGATTATGTATTTAAATGCTGTCTAGGCCCTGCAGAGGCCCCAGGCCTAACTCCTCTTTTAGGTTCCCTCTCAGGGCCCTTGGGTGCTCCAGCTGAGGAAGAGTCCAAGGGCGTGCCTTCTCCTCAAATCCTCTAACCCAGGTCTTTGCACCTTTTCTCACAATTCGAACATAGTCTGTGCGTGACAAACAGTAGTTCCTTCTGTCTCTCCATCTTCTGGAGAGACACCTGCTAGGACCTGTTGAGCGTCCACTTGGGAGGTGGATGGTGTTAGGCAGCTCTCTAGCATTAGCTGTGAGGGAATGACTGGGCAGGGTTGGTAAAGTCAGAGGGCTGACCTGGGTCTCCCAGGCCCGTGCACCTCCCTCCCCAATACATGCCTGAAAGGGCGCTGGCCCACCTGAAGAGCACAAGTCTAAGACCATTATATCGTGGGTATGAGGTCCTACAGACCAGAGCCAGGAGCTTGGAATCCTGCACGCCCTGACCTTCCCTGCACAGGCCTCAGCACCAGGGCCCTATGGAGAGGCAATTGAAGAGCTTTAATGGGCTTAGATGTTGTTGTTGTTGCTAAGTGCTGTTGAGCCGGTTCCCACCCATAGTGACCCTGTAGCGGGTTTCCAAGGAGCAACTTGTGAGCTTGAACCACCAACTTTGCAGTTCAAACTGACTTTGCAGTCTAGCGTATTAACCCACAGAACCACACCAAGACTCCGGACTTAGATGAGGTCTTGTTTACTGCCCAAAGGTGGATGGGAGGTGTCTGGACTCTGTCCTCTTGTCCTGGGACCCAGGACTTGGCTTCTTTTGCCCTTCACCTTTCTCACCCTCTTCACCCAGTAGCCCTGACAAGTTCCCATTTATTGCTCATCTTCTGGAGTTCTGATCGTACCCCAGCAGGAGGCAGTCAGTGAAAGAAGTGAGTTTAGAGGGCAGGGCCAGATCGGAGGAGGTCTAGCCTGGTGAGGGTCGGAAGTGGAAGCCTTGGATGGCTCTGACCCTAGGGGCTTCCAAAGAGTTGAATTGTTGGTTGGCTTCTTTAAGTCAGGATTAAGTAAAGAGCTTGAGGAGTATTTGCAGGACCCAATCCTGCAAGACCAAGATCTCATTGACCAGACTGTTGTTGCCACTTGTCTTTGAAAGGAGAGAGGGTGCTGTTGGAACCCACTCAGGTTTGTCACTCCCCTTGTGGTGAGACCAAAAGGACTCCCAAATACATAATGAGAGTTTAATTTGCATCAGGCATTGTTTCAAAAAGGGGTTATAGTCAGAAGTGCAAAAAACCTGGATGAGGATGAGAAGCAATTGTGTCATGGAGGAAGGCAGGCTCTGGCAGTGACTCATATAGTCACATATATGCTCAAGCAAACAGCTGTACACTCACGTACTCAGACCAGGCCTGGCTGCTGCCCAGCCCCATGATGTATACATAAGGATACAGTACAGTCTTCCTGTACAAGGGATCCAAAATCATCCCCAAGCACTCTGCAACATGCCCCCAGCCTCTTGCAGGTGTAGCTGTGCACATGCAGGGGAAGACACATGCACACAAATCTCCTGTACAATGACACACAGGCCCAGACCTCCATGGACCTGTCTAAGGACACACGAACACCCAGACTGGCACAGATATGCACCAACTAGACCTTTCTGCTCATCCACCCTGGGCATTACATGTAGGCTCCCCCTAGAGGCGGGTGGCAGTGTGGTGAGCATGTAGTGCCAGGCGGGGAGAAGGTGTGGCAGGGGGCAGGTCCTCCAGGAAAACCCTGGCAGGCATTGGGGGTGATCGGGGCTCAGGCCTGGCACAGCACAGGGTGGCGCGGGTAATGAGGTGGTCCAGGGGCTTTAAGGAGTGCATCCAGTGCGGCAGAAAGTCCCATGTCTGCAGCCACTTGGGCAGGCGCCCAGGGCTGCGGTTCTGCAGGATTCTGACAAGCCCCACAAAGGCTAGCAGGGCCCCAAAGGGCGTGCCCACACCAACCATGGCCTGCCAGCCCGCCATGGAGATACCAAATACTAGTGAAGGCAGCAGCAGGAAGCACACGATGAGGTAGAGGACAGCAAACCAGCGGTACTTGGCGGTGCGTTTGCCCAGTGCCTTGGCCATGCGGATGGGCAGGCGCGTGCAGGGCACTGGGTACCACAGCAGGATGCCCGAGATGTTGAAGAAGAAATGGCAGAGGGCAATCTGCAGGGGAGCGAGTGGAGGACTGAGGTGGGCACAGGCCAGGGTGGGATACATAATATAGGGTCTGTCTGGTCTGAACAGCAGAGAAGTCTCCACCAAGGACTGATGTTTGATCTGCACCCAGATTACCTCATGATGACCATACCAGTTAAAATGCTTCTGGACCTTGTTGGTAAATAACTGCTGCCGCGAACTCCTTGCTCAAGGACCAGGCAGCCAAGGTCATTCAAAAGATTATCAACACCCATGAGCCCTCTACTGAGCCTTCAAGAGTTTCTCAACATTCCCTCTATGGAGCCCTCCCTCAAGAGTTTCCCAGCAGATTTTGCCAAGACCCAACAGCTAAAAGGTTAGTATTAATGTCTGGTTCAGTTGTTCTGGCCTTCTGATTGGTCAAGGTCTTGGCCCCATAACCCTGGATTGTTGGTTACACCTTTGCTCTTAGATCCCCTCCCATGCCTAGAGGGCTCTTCTCCCATCTCTTAGTTAACCCTTCCTCTGCTCATCCTTGATTCCCCAGCCTGGGGCAGGCCCTCTCCTACAGTACCTCTTCATGTGTCAGTCAAATGTGCACTTGGCATGACTATTCCATTGATTCCCTGAGTGGTGTAAATGGCTAATGTGCTCAGTTGCTAACTGAAAAGTTGGAGGTTTGGTCCAGTTAGAGGTGTCTCAGAAGAAAGACCTGATGCTCTACTTTTGAAAAATTAACCTACAGTGTACAGTTCTATTCTGACATATATGTGGTCTCCAAAAGTAGGAATCAACTAAAAGGCAACTGGTCTTGCTTTGGTTTTTGACACTGAAGCAGACTTCTGGAGGGTGGAACCATTTCTGTTTTGCTCACAATGGTTTTCACAGAGTCTGAGCCTGGCATAGTGGATGGCACCTAGTAGTCAATCAAAAAATATTTGTGACATGTTGTAACCCCTCAGTCAGGTCCCAGATGTGTCTGGCATGCCTCCCCTCCTCATCCCCCAACACGCACCTGGAAGGAACTAGACAGCTTTTCCCTGGGACTGGCCAGAGCAGCTAGGATGGCAGTGGTGGTGGTACCGATGTTGGAACCCAGTGTGAGGGGGTAGGCCCGCTCAATGCTGATCACACCCAGGCCTGAGGGTGGGAGAGGGAAGAGAGAGAAGATATGATACCCTTTCCAACTCCCTCCTTCAGCCCCACCCTTGGCATGGGCACTCACCGATAAGCGGGGTGATGGCTGAGGTGAACACGGAACTGCTTTGGACAACGAAGGTCATGCCTGCACCCACCACCATGGCAAAGTAGCCCGTGACCCAGGTGAAGGGGGCAGGGAAGTCTGTAACAAAAACCCATCCCAGCAGGCCTGGTCAGTGGGGGCGTTGGTAGAGGGGAGCAGTTATTTGGGAGCTGAGTAAGATATTGGCAGCCCCCTGTCAATGGCAGCGTCTGAGCATGTATAGCCTTCCAGGCCCCATGTCTGGCTCCATTTCCTGTGACCATGATGACTGCCCCCTGCCTCCCTGTTGCTCACTGTTTCTCCAGTCAGACACCTACCAAGTGGCTTCCTGCCTCTAAGCCTTTGCATGTCATCTTCCTGCCACCTAGAATGCTCTTCACCCACTACTTATGTTAGGCTCTGCTCCAGTGTTACCTCCACAGAAAGGCCTCTGACAGCTCATGGTGAGCCGCCTCTTCTATACTCTCTTGCACTGCCAGGTGTGAGGTTCCCAATGGAAGGATCTAGAAGAATCCTGTGGCCTGCCCACCCGCTGTCCAATGCTCACCAGTGTTGATAACTTTCTGAATGACCTTGGCCACCTGGCCCTTGAGCAAGGAGTTGAGCATCTTGACAAGGAGGATGAGGCAGGTACACAGGAGCACCAGGGAGCCCGCCAACAGAATGAGCCCCACAGCCAGGTCAGGCAGCCTCGTATTCACAAAGATGTGGTTGCCTGTAGGGGGTGAGAGGGTTGTGCTGAGCATTTACCCCCACACTCACATCCCAGCCCCCATCTTTGCCACCCCCTTGGGCTCTGAGCCTAAGGCCCCACCTTAGACCCTAAGTCCAAGAACTGAGCTAGTTGACAGTGAGCAGTCCTCCCTGAACTCTGCCCTTCCCAGGCCCAGTACCCCACACGACAGGCACTTACATTTCTCCGTGGTGGCATTTCCAAGAAGCCAGCTAGTGTTGGCCTCTGCCCTGGACAGGGAGGTGTGAGCCTAGATTAGGAAGAAGTGACTTTGGAGAATTCAGGAAAGGCAGGCTGGGTTTAGGATTAAGATGAGGGGGAGGAGAGGGGACAGAGAAGGAGATGGGCCTCCTGGCCATGTGACTGTGGATAGTACCTGGTCTTTCTCCAGGGAAGAACTGTGGATGAAAATCCCCACTGCACAAAGGTCCTAACCCCTATAAGTACCTTCCCTGTCACTCACTGCTCCCAAAGGCCTTCTGATCACCAAATCTAGAGGCATCTTGTCCTTGTTAACCCACTTCTCAGAGGCATTAGGAACCAAGCCTAATTCTGCTGACCACATCCCTCCTTTGTGGAAAGTTCCTCCTTTCTGTTATGTTATGTTAAGACCTGTCTGTTATGAGCAAACCCTGTCTCCATTCTCTTCTTGCTCAATTCTGTATCCAAAGGCGTCAGGTAGAAGTGAAGAGGGGTCCATCTCTTCCCTCCTCACCTACT